TTTTTTTTTTTTTTTTTTTTTTTTTTTTTTTTTTTTTTTTTTTTTTTTTTTTTTTTTTTTTTTTTTTTTTTTTTTGCATGAGAAGATAGAATCCATTATCATCTTTGGGAGCGTGGGAGTGTGGAGGATTATTAGAAGTGTGTCTCACATTAGTTAATTTAGTGGAAGATCATGAATTTATAAGTAGGGAATACTATTGAGGAAGCTCAAAGCAAAATCATGAGAGCTTGTGTTCAAAGTGGACAATATCATATTATTGTGGAGAATCGTGTGATTCCTAAACTGGAATTATAGCGTATTTACATTTTTTTTTTTTAAATTGAAAGAATTTGGCTTAATTTATATCCATTTGAATTGCTGCAGGCACCATCATAATGGGAGATGGGAAGCTCGAATCGGCAGAGTGTTCGGCAACAAATATCTTTACCTTGGAACATACGGTATTTTTCTCTTTTACTGCACAAACCCAACTTTTAACAGTTGAAAATAGACTAAATCTATAATTTAATTAGAGAAAAAACCACGTAAAAGCTAAACATATATAAATGGGAAAAAAAAAACAATTGTTTCTTTAAATTATAGGTTTTTCATGATGTGGTCAACAGCCTCCTTCATTATATTATTATAGAGTTGCTATCACACATCATACCATTTTTGTGTCTTATTTCATGCATCACTCTTTAATATTTTGAATGAATAAGAATAGTTTTATTTCTTTTGTTTGTTAGTTCAATATGTCATCTAATCTTTTCATTTCATAGAATAATTTATATTATCGTCTGCCCTTATATTCTAATTTTTTTTACTGAAAAAACCCATAAAATTAATTATTAAAGATTGTTCTATGTTTATCATCTAATTATATAATGTGTATTTATTATACATTTCAATAAAAACCGTTCTCTCATCTCGATAATAAAATAAAGTGTTTGAAAACTGTGGTAATTTATCCTAAAATCTAGTTAAACTTCAGGCTTCCCCTCAAGACGGCTTCTCCTCAAGACTTTAAAACGAATTTTCTAGGAGAAGGTTTTCACACCCTTATAAATGGTAGTTTGTTCTCCTCCCCAACCAATGTGAGACATCACAATCCACCTCCCTTCGAGGTCCAGCGTCCTCGCTGACACTCTTTCCTTCCTCTAATCGATGTGGGACTGCCCCCAAATCCACCCGCTTTGAGGCCAGCGTCCTTACTGGTACACCGCCTCATGTCTACCCCCTTCAAGGAATAACGAGAAGGCTGGCACATCGTCCGGTGTCTGGCTCTGATACCGTTTGTAACACCTCAAATCCACCGCAAGCAGATATTGTCCTCTTTGGGCTTTCCCTTTTGAGTTTCCCCTCAGACTTTAAAATTGTTCTCCTTCCAACCAAGGTGGAATATCACACTTTAAATGAAGTTTTCAAACTTTTATTTAGTTGAAAACTATTTTCATTTAGACTTCCTAAGGTTTATTTTAAAGAGATGATTATCAAATTTTGTTCATACTATTTTTCTTCAACAAAAATTTAAATTTTTGTCTTTAAAAAAGCTAAAATATTTAAACCATATACGCAACTAAATCTAGTAGTTGGCATGTAGATCACCAAACCTCAACTGCAGCATGGCCAGCTATTTAAGATTTATTCATTTCGACACATGATATCATAAATTCATTGTCTTCTCACCAAAACTTGCATACATATTATTCGGGGAATTTAGAAATTAATATCTAATTTTTTTTATTGTTATTTCTATTTGCTTTATTTTCACTTTACAGCTACGCAAGAAGAAGCTGCTAGAGCTTACGACCTGGCGGCAATAGAACATCGTGGCCTTAACGCCGTTACAAATTTCGATATCAGCCGTTACATCAAATGTCTCCGTCCAGGGGAACAGCATATCCCAGACAATGACCGTCCATCAAGTCCAAACGCCGGCGACACTGCCTCAGAATTTGACCCCAAATCCCCTCTCGAAATTACCTTTCCGTCGCAATATTCGAGCTCCGACCAACCAACCACCGCGCCGGAACCTCACGGCGGCCACCCCTCATCATCGTCGGCGACGTTGGAGCTGCTACTCCATTCGTCAAAATTTAAACACATACTAGAAAGGACATCCGCCGCCGAGACTTCACAGACGCTGCCGGAATCCGTCCGGCCGCGCCGCTGTATACCGGACGACATTCAAACCTACTTCGATTGTAGTACTCAAGATTCTGACGACATTGCCGGAAGCGACGACGGAATTTTCGGGTACCTAAACTCGTATTTTCCTTCGTCAGTTTTTCATAGCGCACTCGATGCTTAATTAGGTGTAATCAAGAAAGGAGGAAATAACTTGGGCTGGCCATGGCCATGGCCATGGCGGATTACGACGATCATCAAAAACGGCGATAATGGAGGTCCGGAGGACATGGCCTGAGGTAGGTAATTAATTAAAATTTTAGAGAAAGTTGTTTTTATTTTTGTAAAGCCTTCTCTTTGATTCACAAGAATGGGAGAAGAAAACGTTTAATTATTTTCCCCCCAATAGAAATTATCTGCATGTTACCATAGAAATCTTGGGTGCATCCAGAATTGAGGTTGGAATTTTAGCAAAAATCACTCACGCATTTCTAAATTACAAAAAATAAAATAAAAAAAGGGGGATCAGAGTCTATCTCATGGGCTCATGGGTGAGATTTTATTTTATTTATTTATTTTTGTAGTTTTAAAAACTTATTCGAAAATGACTTTATTTGTTTTAAAGTGTTTCTGTTTTAAATAATTATTTGTTTTAAAGTGGTTCTGTTTTAGTATTGAATAAATGCATCTTTGACAAAATAGCAGCGCAGTCTAAAATTATTACTTTTTAAAATGTTGAGATTTTTTCCCATAGTTCAGAAATTCAGTCGAAGTAAATTATTATCTTAAAAAAAAATATGGGCTTCTTGCTGAGTTTAGGCATCCCTTTATTATGCAGGGTCCGGGCTACACATTTGGCGAGTGATTGTGATTTGGTTAGCTGGACATTGAAAGTCTTCCCGGTATACCAGCTCAACTCCTCCAGGAAAATCGATTGTAAGTATAATAAATTTGTTCGATTATGTCAAATCATTAAAGTTCTTGAAGTTCGAAAGTATTTTGTATAATTTAATCTTATGTTTAGATAAGCTATATTCTCCTTTTTGATGCTCTAATATTTGTGAATTATTAGGCCAATTGATCCAAAAGAGAAACATGATTCACCAAAACCATTAAAGCAAAACATTGTTAATCATCAAAATTCAAAACTCTTAAGTCAAGAGAATTTACAAATACATCTTCAATTAGAGTTGCACCGATATTTAGTAAGTCAGGGCATTGCAAGGAAGGTTGTTCAGAGATTGAACAGCAAAAGAGCTGAGAAGCAGCCAAGGATTATCATACTGAGCAACAAAGCTTTGAATCTATGGAAGCCAGGCATATGCAAAATGCTTGGTAACCTGTCAATGGATACCTGCCAAAACACAAAACACCCCATAATTCATATCAACATCCCACAAGTCTATGAGCTAATTTAAACTTTAATGTTCTACTAGACACAAAATTCAATCTTATATCTAATGGTTTCGTTTTCTAACAAGTCGATGACCTTTTAGAAAGTAGCATGAAAGTACAACTGACTAAATGATAGGACATCCAGTTGGTTTTGGTCGGTTTTATTTCCAATGAACACAAAGAAGGGTTTTTTTTTCAAGTTTTATTTTCTTAAAACTGACTAGGAATTGATCTGCTTACCTATAATCCATCACATACTTGGACTTCCCAATCCTTCCAAGTTGGAGAATTGTTTGCTTGCCATTTTCCTGTGCCAAAAGCCCACTAACAAACTCAGCCTCTTCCAGTTGAAATTCATTCTCTTTCTATCTCATTAGAATGTAGATTTATACCTCTAAAGTTAACTGAAAATTCTTCACAGAGGTTTGGATCGTAAGACCTGAAACTGCTCTTCCTCTGTCTCTGAAGTCCAACTCATATTGCTTAGAAATCTGAAGAACAACCAAGAGCAATGAAACATTGAGGAATATCCCAAAAGACTTCAAGTCTCTATTCAAGAGTTTTGAATTGCAATTTCCAATTCACCTTGTTGTATTGAGGAACTCTAGAGACAAGCTGGTGGACTTTGGTCTTTTCTTCCTCCCACTCCCTTGGCAGCCCTGCTATGTGCTGCACCTGCTACAGCATACAATCAAGCAGCTATTTAAAAAGTTTCGAAAACGTTCGGAAAAATATCGAGAAGTATTCGAAATGCCTACAATACGAATATGAAATACTAATAGCAACTCAATGACTTTTATTGAACTATTGTTTCATTGATGTTTTGGAACCGCTCAAACTTACTGCTAGCAGATATTATTCTATTTGGGTTTCCTCTCAAGATTTTTAAAACGTGTCTGCTAGGGAGAAGTTTTCACACCTTTGTAAAGAATGTTTTGTTCCCCTCTCCAACTAATGTGGAATCTCACAATCCACCTCCCTATTGGGTCCAGTGTCCTCGCTGACACTCGTTCACCTCTCTAATCGACATGGGATCTCACATGTTTCTATTGACATTTCTATAACTATGAAGGCATCATATCACATTGTTGGTACACAAAGCCTTGTAAGAGTTGAAAAGATTTTCATATGTTCTTAAGCACCTGATTGGTGTTTTTCAGCTGAATTGTTTGATGCTTGGGGATGAAAGCCTTCATGCTTCTATGACTGCCTGTCCAAGTGGTTATTGTAGGCATGAATCTGTAGAAAAAACAGGCAAATCAGTTACTCCAAACGAGAAATAGAGAGAGAGCTGGAAGGATGGGGTGGCGGCCTACGTTACAGCAGCAAGAAGCGATTTCGACTGGCTCGGGATGGGTTTCAGTCGGCTCGCCTGAGAATGAACATGAAAAGAAACCATGTCATAATCATAGGTACTCAGCGAACTTCTTTCTAATTCAACACAATTCAACATTCCATTAAACCTGATCCCATATATGATATTTCGAACCAACAAGGTTTGTAGTCATGGATCCAACAAAACTATCATCTGCATTGCACAATATCCCTCTTGCACTCTGAGCTATTTTATACTCTGACCTCCCATTCTGTCGTCGATGCCGAGCCACCGCCAACTTCCGGTCCTGCCTTCCCTTCCCTTCCTGATACCAAGATGGTTACCAAGAACTATTAAGTAGGTGCAGGGTTGGGAGTTTCTATTGTTCTATTTTTCTTGGAGGGTTGAGTTAGAAAGTCCTAAATTTCTCATAAAACACCCTTGATTATAAGATAGATAATCAAAATCTCAAGGTTAGAGAAACATAAACACAACCATCCTCAAAAAGTCTAAAACTGAACCATGAAGATTTGGCATAAGCAAACTAACTTTCAGATCCCACTCTCAGTTTGAGAGGAGAACAAAGCATTACATATAAGTGTATGGAAACCTCTACCTAGAAAATGCGATTTAAAACTATGAAACTGACGGACAGGCCAAAGCAAACAATACCTGCTAGCAGTAGGCTTGTGATGTTACAATAACCCGTTTAAAAGGGCACCATTTCTAACCATTTTGCTTCGAGTTTTCCGAACTAGATTTGAATTTTGAAAATACTAACAAAATAAAGAAATTCATGAACCAAAGTAGTATAAGAATGGGAAAGAGACAAACTTACATTGGTGTAGAGAGAATAGAAAGCACCACCACGAAGTCCATCCGGTGACTTCTCCTTCACAATGACACAGGTACATCTCCCCACATCCACAGGCAATGGCCTACACAACAACGACCTGAAAAAACAAAACAAAACACTTAATCACATCCTTAACATCCTCAAAAGAAGCTGTGAGGTAGTGTAGTTGAAATGGTAATCAAAATGAGTATTCAATGTGTTGTTCAACAAGGTTGTGAGATAGTAAGCTTAATTTAATTCTCAAAAACAGAGAACTAATAAGAGAACCCACCTGTTAGGCAATGTGGACCAAGAAGAAGCTGGAGCAGCTTCAGAATCCGAAAAGTCCCAAATCTTCAACGAACTAGAGTGCTCTGAATCAGTCCCCTCCCACAACTTAGACCCAAAAATCTTATCTGGTTCATTCATCTGCATACACAGATGAAGCGACGAAGGCTTCAACGCCTTCCCAGTCGAAAACGACTTGAAATCCCCAAATTTCTTAGGATTAGCACAAGACCCATTACTCGGATTCGCGTTTTCTTTGTCGCAGAGCACTCCATTTTCATCGCTCTGTTTCTCCTTCGTATTGGGTGTCAAGTTTTCTTTACTTTGCCGGAATCCGCCGTCGCTACAGCTACGGTTGTGCCGGAGGTCAGTAAGGGGATTGACATAGAGAGGATTATAGGAAGTTTGGCGATGAATGATCGTCTTCTTGTCACCACTCATTCTTTTGTCTGTTGAGACAAGAACAGGGGAAGAGTTAAGAGAATGAGAAAATGGGGGAAGGTATTTTGTGGTCTAGTCTCTATCTCTGGATTCATAACCTGGAATTTATATGCGAGGAAGAAAGAGACCATTAAAAACATTTAGTTCTGTTTTAGAACATTTAAATTAGAGTGATTAAGAAAAGATTCAAACTTTAATTTTTTATTTTATTTTATAAGCTGAAGTGAGCTGTGGGAAGATGACATTGGGAAAGGTCAGAAGCTTTGGGGGAAAAAGGAAATATTTGAATTTGAAATGGGCATTGGAAAAAGTGGAAACTTTGGATTTTGTTTGGATGTTTTGTTTTTGCATGAGGAACCAACGGTAACCTTAAAAAAGAAATAATAATAAATAAATAAATAAATAAACAGTGGGATTTGACTGTTTGATGGAAAAGGAGGAAACGCGGGAAGTGGGCTTTTTTCAAAATGGGACATTTGAGAATCTGTCTTTGTCTATGTTCTTGTTCGGAAGTGGACCCCACTCTGTTTCATTTGCTTCATTCTTTCAAAAACGAGTTAAATAAATAAATCAAAACTATAGCATTTTAGGGAACATGTTTAAAATTAGTAATGTTAAGGTTTTTTTTTTTTCGAAATATATTTTAAATAAAAATACATGTAGTTCATGAAGTAGAAATAGATTTATCCTCGTTAGTTAAATGAGACTCAGGATCTCTCCTCTTTCTGTCTAGTAGGTGCAAGCAAGAAAATGAATATCAATATGGATAAATTGGGCGCTTTAACCATTCAGCCATGGATGTAAAGAGACTCAGCGAGTGAACTAAGTTTTGGTATTCCTTCTCAAGCTTCTATTTCTTCCGTTAAAGGAGATTCGGGAAAAGATGGAATAGGAAGTTAGGAAGTGTGTTTCCAAAACGAATAAGATACGGGTTGAGAAGGAGAAAGGGATTACATTTTTTGTCTTTGTCTTCGACCTTGCCCTATATTTATAAGCTCGTATATATTGAGAAATTATCAATTAAAATTATTTAAAAAATATATATATATATACAAAAATGAGGAAATTTCTTTACAAAGAATTCACTTCGGTCCAATTAAACTAGGTTTAAATTGGGTATGAAGTTGGAGGTTGAGTGATAGATTTATGGTTAATTATTAAGTTTAATTCCGTGCCTATCAAATTATAAATTTTTGTCAAAACAAGTTGTCACATCATTATTAAAATTAATTATTAAAATAAATACAGAAAAAATTGAACTCCTTACAAAAAAATTTACAGGTGTTCACAAATTAAATTATATTAATCTACCATGCAACTTAAGATAGCCCAATATCATTGGGTCGTATGGTTGTTGGACCAAAAACTAATTTAGCCCAAAATCCTACAAGGCTCGTCAAATTCTATAAATAGTTTTCAAATTCCAAAATTTAAAGCTTCAACAATTTAGGGAACAGAACTCCATAAGAGAATTCATAAGAGTCTGAAAGCTAAAATAACTGAAAAAAATCCATAGCTAGAGAATGGAGAAGATTAAAAACCCGAAAAGATTATGTGACGCCACTTAGGTACATGAATGAACAGAGATCGCAGACCAAGTCTTATTTCCTAATATTCTCATCTAGAGAATGGATAACATTAAAAACCTGAAAGAGGTACATGAATGAACAGAGATCACACTCCTAAGTCTTATTTCCGAACATTAAAAACCTGGAAAGATTATGTGACGCCACAAAGATACATGAATGAATAGAGATCGCACCCCTAAGTCTTATTTCCTAATATTTTCATCTCTCGTTTCTCATGAACCAAACAAGCTGTTAAGTTTTCATATTTTGAAATTATAATAATTTAATTCATTTTTTTGAAACATATCACGAATATTTAATGAGATTTCTAATTTTCTTATATATATATTGCTACTAAGAGTACACACAGCTATTCATGAGTCAACCAAACAGATTTCAGGCATCTTAGGCACCAGTGAATTGTTCAAATAAAGCATTAAATTCGTTTCTGCAGGATAACACAGTTCATTTTCATGCACCCAAGACCACATACATTACTAATCAGCAAACACAAAATGACTGGTTAATGCATTCTTTGTGTTAAGAAATTCATTTCTCAGATAATAATGTATACAGAGTTCACTTGCATTTTACTACACAACTTTGTATGGCAAACTGACTAACTTGAACTCATTTTCTTTCTTTCTTTTTTTTTTCTCTTTTTAAATCTTCAACCCAAATTGTTCAGAATTACAAACAAAATGCACGAATTTCGGAGCACTAACCCGAGTATTAAAGAATTTTCAGTTTCCCTTTAGCCATGGAAGTCTTTGCAAGCTCCAGTTGACACTGAGCCTTTTGCGCCCCAGTCAATCCAGAGCAAGAGGAAGAGCCTAAGGTGACAGCAAAGTAAAGGTAAATCGTGCAAAGAAAAGTCAAGAGGACAAGTGCTGTGAGGAGGAAGCGATGTCGCTGAATGAGTGTCGACCAACTACCCAACTCATTCGGAGGAAAGGCCTTTCGGAATGATGGGGACCTCCTGTGAGGAGAAGACAGGACACTGTCAAGAACCATGTTGCATGATCCAACCTCCTCAGTCAGCCTGAAATGTAAAGCACGGATTAGATAACTTACTACATGATTTTTGAACTTTTTTCACAATAGATTGAAGTTCATTTAGCATGCTAGCAGAACATTTTGAGGAAGGGTAACTGTTCTCAGTTTCTAATGTTGTTGATGATGATTTCACCAAGAACAAAACATTCCAAACATCATATATAAGTAAGAAATCCAAACAGTGGCACTTTTTTTTTTTTTTTCCCTAAAAAATGGAACTCATACGAGCACAATTCTTTATCTCTCGGCTCTTGTACTGATGCAAGACAAATGCAACCAAGTAACCATTCATCACTGTTCTCCAGATCTTCCATTACCAACAGATGTAAGAATGAGGCAATCAACACTCCCAATGCAGGACAACGTTGTTTATTTCAATCTATGATGCAGAAATAAGCCAAAGAATGCAATTTTCAAACATGGGGTTAGAACCTACGACCCTCAAGGGAAAGAGTTCATGTCAATAACCGTTGAGCTAAGCTCAGTTTGGTATAAATTTGATATATTCTAATCGGAAGAAAAGTAGCTCATCAAGCAATTACTTTCAATGTATTGTAGAGAAAGACAACATTCCTGTCACATAAACACCAATATCATAATGGCAATCTAAAAAAACCATAGTCTGACTAGTCCACCGAGAAGCAGGCAACTAAGTTCAAAAGGTGCCTCAAAATTTATCCAAATAGATAACCCACAAGCACATGTCTGAAGGTCGCTAGAACATGAAATTAACACAACTCTTATAACTCTTCTTGTTGTGACTTGATAACTTCAGAAATTTCAAGCATTAAGATAGGCAGACCGAGTTCTTGAAAAATGGATATATCCCGGTAAATTGCAGTCCATTGGCTAAAGTCGATGATGCAGATTTAATTACTTATTAATTATCAAAGATGAAAACGACCAGAAAGAACCCCAAAAATTCAGATGCAACTGTAAGCCAGTAAAATTTAATGTGAACAAGAACCCCAAAATTCGAACATTTTAAACAGTAGAAAGTTACAGAGGTTCAAAAATGAAACTCTTCCTCCGTGTTCCTAAATTAATCCCAAACCCTATCATTTCGAAACCTCTACTACGCTAAAATTCCTCCCACCCAAAAGAACGTAAAGAACCAAACAAATAAACAACCACAACTAAATCACAAAACAAAACTCACGAGATGGCAAGGTTTCAGAAGATCGAATTCTCAAAATTTACACTAAAATCAGATCGAGGCACATTGTTAAACCTACAACAACAATCACTCAATCCCTTCAACAGAAAGCTGTATGAACACAGCTCCGATCTAAACCCATCCAAATCCCCCAACGAATTCAATCAAAACAACCAACATTTCAACCAAAATCCAACAAAAATAAACAACCATACCGAGCAAATTTCAAGCGATACACATCAGTTGGAAACAGCAGATCAAAGAGAAATAGAGAGAGAGAGAGAGAGAGAGAGAGAGAGAGAGAGAGAGAGACTTACAAAATCAAAACCCGCTAATTCCAAACAGAACGAGCTGAACAGATATTTTTGTGGTGCTTATCTGTTTCAACACGCCTCGGCTGCTGGAGAAAAATGCCCGAAAGGCCGTCCACGCGGTCTCCACAGTTGGAAAACTTTGCAGAGGGAAAAAGAAAGCGTGGGAATGATATATATATATAGAGAGAGACAGATATATCTGAAATCAATGACGGCTCTTCGATGTGGTCTAGGGCCACCATAAAAACCGACCCATATACGGTTTATTTTCGTTCTGTGTTTTTTAAATTGAAATTAAATTAAATATTTTACAGCTAGGAGAGAGAAACCAATTTCCAACTTTCTCCCTCCTTTTTTTTTTTTTTAAATATTTATAATAAAATGTAGAAATATACCTATAAATTAGTATCGCTCTCGAACAAGATCTTGTTCGGAGTGTGAATTTAACATGTTATATCTGAATTTGAGCTCAAAATTTAATATCAAAATCAGTTGATTGATGTTCTTGTCTTGAAGATATTAGTTAATCTTATACCTGCAAAATCATATGTTTAGTGGTTAAATCCTGTCAAATCATTAGTTTAGTCATTGATGTTCCACGTTAATACCTTAATCTAGCTCATCTAGATCAGTATATAAAAGAGATAAAGTTACTTAAATTAAGAATTAAGTACCAAGCTCGGCCACATACAATGATAACTAAATTAGCTCGATTTTAGTGAGAGGTGTAGCACAAGCTAATGGTTCTGTAAGCATATTCTTCTTCCTTATGTACACAGAATTAAGATTTTTGGGTGTGTTGTTTTTAACGATTAGCACAAGCCGGCTTGACTTGCCCTAGGCATGGGTTCCATGCAGATGCTTGAACTTTGTCTGATTCATGTAGGATACGTTTCAATATATTTCTAGTTGATCTGTTCGATATCTATTTGTTTAAAATTGTTGAGTTTATATTATATAGATTTTTTACCTGTGAAGATTTTAAAAACTAAAAAAAAAATAATTAACGGAGATTTCAATTTTTTTTAAAATTTCAAATATTTATTTTTTATATGGTCTTTAGAATTCAAATTTTTTTTCTTTTTTCTACATGATTTTTTGTTTTTAAAAAATAAGTTTATAAATTACTTTTACCTCAATCTATCCATATATATATATATATAAACCGGATTTAGTTTCGAATCTTGATCTCTCATACGATTGTTCGGGTGGGTTGCTTGGTGATCATAAGAATTTTCTCCTCCTTATCTCTTCCGAGGTAATTCTGCGATTAGTTTCCTTATATCTGTTCTTCCGTGATTGCTTATTTCAGCAAAGAAAACCCCTCTATGTTCTAATGTCACTGCAAAATTGAATAAGATGTTGTTGATTTTGGTTTACTGATAATGTTGGTCAGAGGATTTATTGGATTGCTCTGTTGTCTGTATTCTTGATTTAATATGATTAGGTTTATCGTTTTCTGGAGCTTAATGTTGTTCGGTTATGGAGAATCAGGCTTATTTGAATGCTGAGAGTTATTACGATTTGATTTTCCTATGACTTGGGTCTGGCTCCTTGGCATTGGCAGATAAGCTTGTAATCTGGTGGCTGCGTAAGGAAAGAAGATGTGGGCGGCTTCTTGCCTCGCGTCGTGCTGTGCAGCTTGCGCTTGCGATGCCTGCCGCACGGTTGTTTCCAGTATTAGCCGAAGGTCTGCAAGGATTGCATACTGTGCCCTCTTTGCACTCTCTCTGATTGTTTCTTGGATTCTTAGAGAAGTTGCTGCTCCTCTTATGGAGAAGATCCCTTGTGAGTCATGACTTTCCCCTTTCTTAAATGTCTACAGATTTGTAGTAGTAGTACAAGCCATTGCAGATGATTGCGTAGTGTATTTCGCTCTCGCTCGTAGTGCCATCTTATCTTGTGCTCGCTTTGATGAATCTATATGGAATTCTTGAAAATTTTCCTTAGAATAAGACAATATCTTGTAACTCCTCAGAAGGAATTAATCTTACTATGTGGCACATATGTGCCACAGCGAGAGTGAATGTTACAAGACGAGTGTCTCGGGCGTCTTCCTTTTAAATGAGTTTTTCAAGGATATTATTAGACAGTAGAGGTGTGTCGGTATTACGCCCCAACCCATGTGTCAGAGGTTAGATTATACACTTGCTATCTAGAGCAGGTTCGATACCCGATGAGAAACTAGATGGATGGATATTCGAGATGTCCCGATGAGATGATTGACACATGGACTCGTTCTCAACAGATGTGTCCGAGCACAATGCATGGGTCGTGTTGTTGGGAACCGAGATGACGATGAGAGTGCGACATTGTTTACAAGAGACCTTGGCTTGTAGTAGAGGTAAGGTCGAGCCAGATGACTTGACCTAATGTAGAGGCAAGTCGACTAGAGTTGTAGACAATTGAACATGCACACACGAGCGGCGTGTGTGACCGAACAAGCTTGGATTTCGCACAAATTGTGTTTGGTTAGTGAAGACAAACCTAGCATACATGGGCCCGTTCCCAACAGATGTGTCCAAGCACGATGCATGGCTCATTAGGAAATTGGCTCTGTGATTGGTTGTAATCATCCTTTTCTATTTAGCACTTTTTCTGTTACTTCTTCTAATCCTCAAACTTGCTGTTTGTTCTTTAACTGCTCTAAGGGGTACTTACTACTAAGAATCATTATCAGATGATAATGAAATATTGTCGACTTTAAAAGCTGTCTCCAAAGCATCCCCATTGCTGTTGACTGATAGTTTCAAGTATTATGACAGATTTTTATTGTTTGTCTTTTTTCAGGGATCAACACTTTCCATGAAACACCTAGCAGGGATTGGTTTCAAACTGATGCAGTCCTGCGGGTTAGCTTGGGAAATTTTCTCTTCTTCACCATTCTATCTGTGATTATGGTTGGTGTGAAAAGTCAAAGGGATCCCCGTGATAATATTCACCATGGTGGATGGATGGTGAAACTCATTTGTTGGTTCCTTCTAGTGGTACTAATGTTTTTCATTCCCAACGAAATTATTACCTTTTACGGTAAGAAGACTTCCAGTTTGTGATGGTTTAATTTTAGATCCTTTCCCTTATTTCTTTCTTTAAAATGGCATTAATATATTCTGCATTTACAGAGTCTATATCAAAATTTGGCTCGGGATTGTTTCTTCTCGTTCAAGTTGTTCTTTTGCTGGATTTTGTTCATAGATGGAATGAAACCTGGGTCGGATATGATGAGCAGTTTTGGTTTGTAGAATTATAGTTTCTTCTTGTGCCTTCTTATTGTAACCGTCCAAGCCCACCGCTAGCAGATATTGTCATTTTTGAGTTTTCTCTTTCAGGCTTCCTCATAAGGTTTTTAAAACGCGTCGGCTAGGGAGAGGTTTCCACATCCTTGTAAAGAATGCTTCGTTTTCCTCTCCAACCGATGTGAAATCTCACAATCTACCCCCCTTCAGGACCAGCATCCTCACTGGCACTCGTTCCTCTCTCCAATCGATGTGGGATCTCACAATCCACCCCCTTCATGGCTCAGTGTCCTTGTTGGCACACCTCCCGATGTCTGGCTCCTAGCAGATGCGTTTTAAAAACCTTAAGGGAAATCTGAAAGGAAAAGTCCAAAAAAGATAATATCTGCTCGCGGTGGGCTTGAACGGTTACATTCACTCTCTTTCCTGAGTCTCTTTTTGGCTTTGTAACTAATGTTCGAGTTTCCCCTCTTCTTATTAGGTACATTGCCTTATTTGTTGTTTCACTTTTCTGTTATGTGGCCACGTTTGTCTCGTCTGGGTTCCTCTTCCATTGGTTCACACCATCAGGACATGATTGTGGGCTCAACACCTTCTTTATTGTCACGACCCTAATTTTTGCGTTTGTTTTTACCGTTGTTGCACTACACCCTTCAGTAAGTTTTTCCCTCTTTCATCTTTCATCAATCAAACTGTATCTCTTAGATGGCAAGTCATTATTGTGCATGTCTATATATATTTCCTGCCTCTCCCTCTCGTCTATCTTTCTGTCCTACAAATTAGAAATAATTTCTTCAAATTTTGCCTCCATTCATAATAGATTTGGCTAATGTCCAAGTTGTTGTACTAGGACACTCATTGTGCCTCGCTAAGAAGAGGTTTTCACACTCTTATAAAAAATGTTTTGCTCCCCTCTCCAACCAATGTGGGATCTCACAATCCATCCCCTTCAGGGCCCAGCATCCTCGCTGACACTCGTTCCCCTCTCCAATCGATGTGAGATCTTACATCCACCCCCTTTCGAGGTCCAACATCCTCACTTCCCCACCGCCCGATGTCCACCTCTTTTCAGGGCACAGCGTTCTCGCTGGCACACCACCCGGTGTCTGATTTCGATACCATTTGTAATAGCTCAAGCCCACCATTAGCAGATATTGTTCTCTTTGAGCTTCTGTTCAAGGTTTTTAAAACACGCTCGCTAGGGAGAGGTCTCCACACAATTATAAAGAATGCTTCATTCCACTCTCCAACCGACTTGGGATCTCACAATCCACCCCTCTTCGAGACCAACGTCCTCGCTTAGAAATTTACGCCTCTGGCGGTGTCTTTTAACTGTTATGGTGTTATCTTGAATTATGACTTTCGCGTGGATATCTTTTCAAATACAGAGTGCCTACATTTTCCTCGTCTCTTATGACTTCCAACATGATGAAAAAACAGGTCGGTGGCAGTGTTTTGCCTGCATCGGTCATCTCGCTATACTGCATGTATCTCTGTTACTGTGGACTTGCTAGTGAACCAAGAGACTATGAATGTAATGGTCTCTACAAGCATTCCAAGGCTGTTTCTACTGCCACTCTTGCCTTAGGTCTTCTCACAACTTTTCTATCGGTTGTCTATTCTGCTGTTCGTGCTGGTTCTTCTACAACCTTGCTTTCCCCTCCAAGTTCACCTCGTGCAGGTAAAAGTCAGCTATTTTATTTTTATTATTTGGATTTTATTGTTCTTCTGAAACACACAAGGTTATGCAAATGGTTAATGTTGCATTGTGTGAGAGGTAATGTGAGATCCTACATTGGTTGGAGAGGGGAACGAAACACTCCATACAAGGGTGTGAAAACCTCTCCCTAGCAGACACGTTTTAAAACCTGTGAGCTAACGGCGAGACATAACGGGCCAAAGTGGACAATATCTGCTAGCGGTGGGCTTGGACTGTTATAAATGGTATCAGAGTCAGACACTGGGCGGTGTGCCAACAAGGATGTTGGGCCCCAAGGGGGTGGATTGTGAGATCCCACATCGGTTGGAGAGGGGAATGAAACATTCCTTATAAGGGTGGTGGAAACCTCTCCCTAACAGACGCGTTTTAAAAACCGTGAGACTGACGGCGATATATAATAGGCCAAAGCGGACAATATCTGGTAGTAGTGGGCTTAGGCTCTTACAAGTAAGAGTTCCAAACCTCTGCCTTGCCTATTGGTTAAGAAAATAATTTCTTAATTAGCTAATCTAAGCTCAAACCGCCCGTTTCCTTCGATCTTCGTGACGTTTGTAACCCTTCTTAAGTTCATGACTTTTATCTGTAGCGTCTCATGTATGATATAAGGTTATTGGGTATGACATTCTTGCTTCTGTATCGAATGGCAGGAGAGCCATTGCTTCCTCTTGAGAATTCGGGTGAGCGCGAGGAAAAAGAGAAGGCAAGGCCAGTTTCATATTCATATTCATTTTTCCACGTCATCTTCTGTCTTGCTAGTATGTACTCAGCAATGCTCCTGACTGGATGGACCTCCTCAGTTGGCGAAGGCGAAAGGTCGGTTGGTGTCAGGTGGGCATCGGTGTGGGTTCGGGTTGTGACCGGCTGGGCTACTGCAGCATTATTCATCTGGTCTTTGATTGCTCCTCTTCTGTTCCCAGACTGGGAATTTTGAGCACAATATTTGATGATGTTAATGGTGTCTAAACTCTAAGTAAGTCTTATTGCATGCACGAAGGCCGTGAACGAAAATGTCTAGTGTATATGGGGTTCACTGTGTTCACTTGCATATGAGCTTATAACAAAGTTGTAATATAAACTAAAGTCATAAACTCTGTCCAAACAGTTAGCTGTTTGGATGAAATTATTGCTCTAATTAGATGACATAAGAGTAACTAGTTTGCTTCTACTTCTACGGATTACGCACTAAGCAAATTGTGAGAAGAAATGTCAGGGAATAGAGTCAAAGATTTTGAATTCTTTCATTAGGTAAAGATTTTGATTCAAGAGAAGAGGACGATGATATTATATCAATGTCTCATTGGACTTCAAATTATGGGTGGGACATATAAATTCAAGCAAGGTTCAGTTTGGATTTTTCATAGGTGAAGTACAAGTTTGGTTAATAATTAATTATCAAAATATATATGGTTGCATTGTTTTGAAAAAATTAGAATTTGGTTCGATAGTTGAGACATTTTTTAGGCCCAACATATTATTGTAATTTTTTTTAATCGAAACAATTCTTAATAAATAATTCATAAAAATTATTTATTTTTAAACCTTTAATACATATTTTAAAAAATTATTTTACTAATAGTTAAAAATCATTTTTAAAGGTAGTTTGAGAATAAATATATGTATATATAATTGTATGGTAAGTCGGAGAGAAATTTTTATTTATTTGAACTCAATCCGAACCATACGCGTTGGTTGGGTTGATAAACAATTATAAGAATTATAAGACTATATTGGTAATTTAACAAAATAATAATAAAATAAATAAAGGTGGCGTTCAATTGGGTCGGCCCAATCTGGAAACCCAATGAGCGGCCCATGTATTTCATATAAAATGTTCCTATAGAACCATCGATGTCTCATTTCTAGCTTCCTTCATCATCAGTTGTCTTCGTCCGCAAGAAAATCACAACAGAGTTGCAGAATCCTACTCCGGAGTACCAAGTCTAACCTTGCAATCTGATGGCGCCGGACCCTGAGGATGAGATCAAGGACGAGAAGAATCCTCGCCCTCTCGATGAGGATGATATAGCTCTTCTCAAGACCTATGTATGTTCATTTAGCAGACCTTCTTTGTTTTCTACTTTATAAACCCTAATTGGTGCACTAATTTTCTATCCGTATCCTGTTTTCTACCCCATTTATACGTTCACATCTCATCATCGGATTAGATCCGGCGACTTTACTAGAATCGCGTTGCTTATGATGTGCGCTCCTAGTTCTGATAATTCGTGAGTTTTAGTGCCTGTATTCCTTCACCTGGAAGAATTTTAAATGTGAAGTAAGTTCACATTTGGTTCCCGAGTTGAAATGTCTGGATAATCTGTGAATCAGAGGGCTGCCATCTGTAGGCAGTACGATAATTTATGCACTATTGAACATCTCAGCTAATTCTTCAGGGCAGTTTTTTCATACAATTAGGGTCTCTGAATCTCGATTTTCTTCTTATCCGAGAACCTATGTCCAGTGGGTTTTATGTCAAGGCTCATCTTTTGGACAGTGGAATGGCATATTCTTATTTCTCAGTTTTTCGTCTATCGAAATGAGTAGTTTTGGTGTATCCTCAGTTTTGCTCTTGTAACACCACCATCCTCTTTTGCAGGGTTTGGGACCTTATTCAACCTATATCAAGAAGGTAGAGAAAGAAATCAAGGATATGGCAAAGAAGGTCAATGATTTATGTGGTATGTATGCTTCCCGTTCTGTATTAGAAACAGCCCATATATTTTTCTATATATACGTGAATAATCTGTTTATCCCTGAACTTAAATATCTGGATGGGTTGCATCACAGGCATTAAGGAGTCCGACACCGGTTTAGCAGCTCCCAGCCAGTGGGATCTTGTATCTGATAAGCAAATGATGCAGGAAGAGCAGCCCCTTCAGGTGTGATCTTAATGACGTTTGGATACACTTTTTTTGTGGTTTTTAGTTTCTGATGCAGCAATATGTTGTCAATCAGGTGGCAAGATGCACAAAGATCATCAATCCAAATTCTGAAGATGCCAAATATGTTATTAATGTGAAGCAAATTGCCAAGGTTAGTTATTAGTTTTGTGTTGTATAATGCATGCACTCAAAGTCAGTCAAGGCATTCGTTTTAAGTGTGGTTGTGGAGGAAAGGGAAAAGGAGGGACTTATTTACAGTCTTTATGTTTATGTCATTATTTCGTTGATAGTTTAGACTTTAAGAGTTTATTATCCACATTTTTTCCATTAAACCTGCAGTGGTTCTCTAACTTCCTTTACTTTTGTTATGTAGTTTGTAGTTGGACTTGGTGACAAAGTTTCTCCAACAGACATAGAAGAAGGCATGCGTGTTGGGTAGGTTTTGGATGTTCTACAAGTTGTTCTCAGCGTCTTGTATTGGTATAATCTGACGGTGTTCAATTCTTTACCATGCTGTCTGTCTTGTACTTAAATTTCAACTATATGATAATAAGCTCAGAATGATATTTACCTCAAGACAGTAGCTTATTTCATATGTGCATGGTTATGATGTATCATGTTTATGTTGCTTGATTTAGGAATAAACACCATCATTCTTCACTTTTGTATGTTACACAATGCTCTTTGGGAATGATACAATAAGTGATGCATCTGCCTTAAAAAAAAATCTCTTGCTTTTGGTGGCATTTTCTTGTGTTTGTACATGCAAGTATGGCATTGGTCCTAAAACGCTGACATTTTTTCTATTCTTACAGTGTTGATAGAAATAAATATCAGATTCAAATTCCTTTGCCTCCCAAGATTGATCCCAGTGTGACAATGATGACGGTAGAAGAAAAACCTGATGTGACCTACAACGATGTTGGTGGATGCAAGGAGCAGATAGAAAAGATGCGAGAGGTGTGTAGAAATTTTTTATTTGCATTTGCCTTTGAGTAGTTTCAGATTTGCCCGATTGTTTCTAATTTTATAATTCATAGAAACTTAAGTTTTTGTGTTTTTTTTTTTTTAATTTATTAAAAACTGTTACTTGTAGGTTGTTGAGTTACCTATGCTTCATCCTGAGAAATTTGTAAAGCTTGGAATAGATCCTCCAAAAGGAGTTCTTTGCTATGGTCCCCCTGGAACAGGCAAAACACTTCTAGCACGAGCTGTGGCTAACAGAACAGATGCCTGCTTTATTCGTGTTATTGGAAGTGAACTTGTTCAAAAATACGTTGGTGAGGGAGCTCGGATGGTCAGAGAACTATTCCAGGTTGGCTTTTATCATACTTCGTAGTTTTTCTTAGTTCATTTAATAAAATCAATGGTGTTCATACTTCTGCATTATTACTTATATGTTGTTCTGAACCCTAGATGGCACGTTCCAAAAAGGCTTGCATAGTGTTTTTCGATGAAGTTGATGCCATCGGAGGTGCTCGCTTCGACGATGGTGTCGGTGGTGACAATGAGGTTCAGCGCACAATGCTTGAAATTGTGAATCAACTTGATGGTTTTGATGCACGTGGAAACATCAAAGTTCTGATGGCAACAAATAGGTAAGTCATTTTACTAGTGGCCGTGGACAGCAAAAGTCTTTCATATTTCATAGTCACTACTTGGGTTGTATCTGGATGTATCATCTGCTAGTCATTTTGGTTCTTCGTTGCAAATTAAATGGGATCCTAGTTTCAGAATTAGTGATATGAAAATGACAAACTAATTTTCATCTCTCTTTCAGGCCTGATACACTTGATCCAGCTCTGTTACGACCTGGAAGGCTGGATCGTAAGGTCGAGTTTGGGCTTCCTGACTTGGAAAGTAGGACACAGATCTTTAAAATCCATACAAGAACCATGAATTGTGAGAGGGACATCCGGTTCGAACTCTTGGCTAGGCTTTGCCCGAATTCTACAGGTTAATACTTGCAGCATTACCTTTTCTGTATAATGTTTTTTCAAGGAGTCTTAAGGGACCATGTTCGGATAAAAGATGGCATCTGAAGTACTAGAAATTACATGTCAATGTCCAATTATCCTAATTTCATAATAGGGCGGGGTTGAAATCTTAAGGGCAAATCTTAATCCTACCCTCCTCACTTCTCGGCTTCGCCAATTTCTGTTTCTCGTTCCGACATAAGGTGTCTCTATTTTGATCTTAGGTGCACATATCCTTCCCTCTAAGACATTTTTACATGTTTCCAGCACTACTCACGTAGGCTCCTGCCATTCAACTAGTTAATTAACCGAGTAGTCCTTGCCTGTTGTACTGAAAAAAATTATTTTTCTAAACACGGTATGTCTTTCCTACAGGGGCGGATATCAGGAGTGTCTGCACAGAAGCTGGAATGTATGCGATCCGCGCTCGAAGGAAGACGGTGACAGAGAAGGACTTCCTTGATGCGGTGAACAAGGTGATCAAGGGATATCAAAAGTTCAGTGCAACTCCTAAGTATATGGTCTACAATTGATTGAGGCTCTGAAGTTCCCCTTCATTCTTTCAGAGAAGAAAAAACATGGGGAGGTGTACCAAGTAATCATCATTCATTTATCTTCTGTACAACTCTTATTGAACTGCACCGCTTTGTTTCTTCCCCATCCCATCATGTTTTGCAACAGAACCCTTTCTCCCTTTGTTTGCATCATTGTGATTTAGGTATAACCTTTTATCTTTATCCACTTTGCTTGATAGATACATCATCCATCCTTCCTTGGGCTAAACCAAATATGAAGCTTTTGATTAGCACGCTACATTAGTTCATAAAGCATTCCAAGTTATTTACTTGAGGATTCCTTTTGTCGTACGTTTCTTCTGGGCTGGAGCTGTTCAATTACAAATTGAGTCTTTAAATTTTTAAGTTTATATTTTTTTTTTTTTCCTTTTTGGACAAAAATTAGTTTATTCCCTCTAACTTTGGTAAGGAGCTTAAATTGGTACAATTATTAGTTTAAGGTTTTTTTTTTTTTTTTTTTGTTAAATTGATATATCTCCCAAAGGTTAGACTATAAATCAATTTTCACTTAATTTTTGTACATCTAAAGGATTGTGTCTAATAGACCATTAAATGTTTGAGTTTATATTCCACATCTTCGAAAATTCAATGTCCAATAAATTCCTATATGAAAATTAAATTAGGTGCCTAATAGTAATATCATTTACTTTGACCTATTTAACACAGTTTGAGTCTAAGAAATAAGTAA